AAGGTCACAGAACAATATCCTGATGATGTTGAGGCTTGGATTGAGCTGGCACAAATCTTAGAGCAGACTGATATACAGGTATTTTATAATTGAGTATTGCCTTTTATCTCCTACCTAATCTGTGTTTTTGTAAGCATGCTAGACTATTTCTCTTTTATTTTAACTTCTCTCTGCACCATACAATGCAGGGTGCCCTGTCAGCCTATGGAACTGCAACACGAATCCTTCAGGAGAAAGTGCAGGCTGATGTTCCCCCAGAAATTCTGAATAATGTGGGTGCCCTCCATTTTCGACTTGGAAACCTAGGGGAAGCAAAGGTAGGGTGGCACAAATGTTCTTTTCTACTTTATCAAATTGGCTAGATTTATTTAGACTTAATCAACTTAATTTTTTTTAAAACACAACTTTCTGCTCTTGTTTTAATAGAAATATTTTTTGGCATCATTGGATCGTGCAAAAGCAGAAGCTGAACATGATGAGCATTATCATAATGCCATTGCTGTTACAACGTCGTACAATTTAGCCAGACTGTATGAGGCAATGTGTGAATTTCATGAAGCAGAAAAACTATATAAAAACATCCTACGAGAGCATCCTAATTATGTTGACTGTAAGTATTTTAAACTATATTTTATATAGTAAAATTTCTACACCAGCAGCTAAAAATTTGCATGAGGGGGCAACATCCTTTCTGAAAACAGTTGTGATTATTTTTTTTTTAATGTTAGATGTTCTGATTTCCTTAAGACGGATTTATTGCCTTTAAAAAGAGATGTTCGCTAATGACACTTAATATTTTAGTTTGAAATTAAAAGAAACAATTAAAAGCCACTTTATGTTATTTAAGTGGAAGAACACAGCTTGGACTTCAAATCTTCTCCCCAGTAGTTCCTGTTAGACCATGCTTTTGCTATTTTATCATGTGATAAAGCAGCCTATTAAGTAAAGCCACTGGGAGTGATGGACATTGGAGAGAAATTGGAAATAGATGAGCTCCAGGGTTTTTAAAAAGCTGAAGAAGAAAAACTAAAGAACAACATCTTACAGGAGTATTCTAGTAATGTTGACTATTAAGAATTTTAAACTATGGGTTTTTGTAAAATTCCTACAGTCGCAACAGATCTAGGATTGGGAAGGGAGTAGCAGAGAAAAATCTCAGATTTGGAACAAACCATAGGACTTGATGGTGGTGAAGTTACTCTTTATCTTGTTAGGTTGTTAAATAGCTAAATTAATGTTTGAGCTATTTACCTGTGGAACTCTTTTTGTCATCATATGAATGAACAAAAATTATTGTTCCAGAAATAAGACTTTAATCCTATGACCCTTTATACCTGATATCTTAAACATGAAAAATTTTAAATATATCTTTATAGGCTACTTGCGCCTAGGAGCCATGGCCAGAGACAAAGGAAACTTTTATGAGGCTTCAGATTGGTTTAAGGAAGCTCTTCAGATTAATCAGGTTGGTAACACTAGTTCTTAGTTTTTTAAAATAATAATTTTTGTGTTTCGCCTGGGTAAATAAGTTTTTCCTTTAAATGGCTGTCCCTATTATTTTTCTAGTAATCACAGCATCTTCTTGGGGCCATGTGTACATAAAAAATCTGGAAAGTTCCCGAAGTGTTTTCTCCTGCCATGTGCACAAGATTGTTTTCCATTATTTCATTCCATTGCATTTTTTTAATAGCTTTTTTTTATGTTGAGAACTACACACTAAATTGACTTTACAACTTACTAATGATTTTTATCAGTCAGTTTGAAAATCTGTTGTAAAGTAACTGGTTGTTATTGTTGTTATGTACTATCGAGTCGGAACCAATCCATAGCTGACCCTCAGAGTGGGTTTTCAGAGGCAGTTAATCACATGGGAAGTGATTGCCCATCTTTCTCTCATGGTGCAGCTGGTTGCTGGTTTAGAACCCTGTGCCTGCAAGATTGCAGCACAGCTCCTTACGACTAGGCTGCCAGAGCTCCCTAAGTAACTGGTAGACCTCTCCAATTAATAACTAATTGCAGCTACAATGGAAAGATAACTGATTTCTGTCTATCTAAATATCAGATTTTACTTCTTAGTAGCATTAATTTGTGTTTCAGGATCATCCAGATGCTTGGTCTTTGCTTGGTAATCTTCATTTGGCTAAACAAGAATGGGGTCCAGGTCAGAAGAAATTTGAGCGGATATTAAAACAACCATCCACACAAAGTGACACCTACTCTATGCTGGCACTTGGCAACGTGTGGCTCCAGACCCTGCATCAGCCCACCCGAGATCGAGAAAAAGTAATTTATGCTTGCCTTTTAAAACAACATTAATGCTCTGCATTCATTTGAATTTTTATTTGTAGTATTTGTTTCTTGTTTTAGGAAAAGCGCCATCAAGATCGTGCTTTGGCACTCTATAAGCAAGTGCTCAGGAATGATGCAAAGAATCTGTATGCTGCCAATGGCATAGGTGATCATAAGACTGGGTGGGAGACCCTCGGTTGAACTGAAGGCTTAGGGGACAGTGTTTGATACTAGAATTTCTTGACAAATTTAATAAATGTGCTGTTTTACAACGAGATTTTTAGTTGTTTTTCTGGCTGTTTACAATTAAAAAAACCTTAAATTGTGAACTTTTTTTTTAACTTTAGGAGCTGTGTTGGCCCACAAAGGCTATTTCCGTGAAGCTCGTGATGTATTTGCCCAAGTGAGAGAAGCAACAGCCGACATCAGTGATGTGTGGTTGAACTTAGCACACATCTACGTGGAGCAAAAGCAGTATATCAGTGCTGTTCAGATGGTAATGTCTTCTTGTTCAAGATTTGTTCATTGTTGAGTAGGGGTTTTATTAATCGTTCCAGCCAAGTCATGGTTCAGGGGCTTCATGCTATTTCTGTGATTCTCTTTAGAGGTTTATAACTAGGCAGTGTTAAGGTCAAGCTTGGCATCCACACAGTTTTGTTTTTTACTCTACCCCTAATTGCATGCCTTAGGCAAAGGACGTTCTGTTCATGTGTCAGTTTCTCTATCTATAAAATGCAGATAATTGTACCTTAAAACCACAAAGAAGTACTTCACACTTACATGCTTATTATCAGTAAATGTTCAGTCAGTGGTAGGATTGAATATTTCTTTTACCTCCTTAATTTTCAGATGGCCAAACTGAGTTTCAGCAAGAGAGACTAATTTTTTTTAAATAAAATCATAAAAAGCCCCAAGGTTATAGTGTTTTGTAACTGTAGAATATTATAGAGAACTTTAACTTGTAATAAAAGAATCATAGATAGCTTTTATAGCATATAAAAAAGCAAAAAGATAGAAAACCAATTTGCTCTATACACTTGGACTCAAATCACAGTAAAAAAGGTTTTAAAAAGTAAAACAGAGCACTTAAGCGCTGTGGAAAACACTAAGATAGTGAGAACAAGCTTCTATAAAAAGGTAGGAAAAAAAAAGATGTTTGGATGGAAATGGTTGACCTATTTCCTAAGAAGCATAGAACTGATTATCATTAGTGTCTAGACAGTTGGAAAGACACAAGTCATAGGGACTCATGGAGTTCCATTTGCTCATGGTAAGTAACTTCAGGAGCTGTGGTTTTTAGATGGGCCTTTCTAATCTACAGGATGGTAGTGTTGTCTTTGGTAAATTTTAATATAGATTGCTTGGGATGTTCAAGGCAAAACTCTCATTATCCCCTGAAAAACACCTTGCCTATGGTAAGATATATTCTGTGGTCAAAAAAATTTATGTCATAGTTAACACTGGCATTCCCTTATTAGCTATATTAGAGAGATTAACAGCCATAAAACTCATCATGCTGATAGATTCCACAAGATACTACATAAGGATGGTAGAGATATAATCCAGAAGAAGCAGATAATAAACTTATTAAGTGGCTGAAAGTTGAGAAAGTTGAGCAATCTCCTCCTGCGCGATTAACTGCCTCTGAAAACCCACTGGAGGGACTGCTTTGGGTTGGTTTTGACTCAGTGGTACTCAACAAAAAGTGGTTGATCAACTGATTCTAGAAAGTATTGTTAACCTGTTTATTCTTGCAGTGTTGTAAGAAAAATAAAATGTAAAGCATCCTAAATTTCAAATGAAAAAACTTACCTGAGTATTTCATTTTCCAAATGATCAGATATTTATGTTGTGAAAATGTATTCTGGTGGGTATCAAAAATTATTTCTTGAGTAATTTTTCTGAAATTATAACTAGTCATTCAAAGGGCAAAAAGTACTTTTTCACAGAGACTTAAACTATCTTGACAAAATAAAAATATCTCATCTTTGTTGTACTTTATCATTTTCTTTTTTTTTTGTAGTATGAAAACTGTCTCAGGAAATTCTACAAACACCAGAACACTGAAGTTGTGCTCTATTTGGCCCGGGCCCTCTTCAAGTGCGGGAAATTACAAGAATGCAAACAGACTTTACTGAAGGTAAGGTAACCCATTTCTCTGCTGCATTTTCTTTTTTTAATTCTGTATTTCAAAATACTGGCAGCGCTGGTGGCGTCGCCTGTAGGGAGTTACGCTGCTAACCCAAGGTGGCACCTCTCTGATGATTTACTCCACCAGCAGCTCCTTGGGTCAAAGAGGGGCAGTCTTTTCCCCTGCATTTACAGCCTCAGAAAACCCATTGGAGGGACTTCTGTGAATCGATTCCAACTCAATAGCAATGAGCTTAAGATTTTAGGAGAAGAGGGGGGTTTTT